TGTGCCCCCGGGGTGAGGATGCTCCATGCAGAGGGTGGCTGGGGACCAGGATGTGCTCTGCTACGTGCCACCGCCGCTCGAGGAAGCATCCAGCTTTCCATCCGAGCATCCTCCGGGCTGGTGGGTGCACCGCGTTGCCCGGCGGTGGGTGCTCAGCCCGTGGGGAAAACGCTCGGCAGCAACGTCTCCTCGTTCTCAGAGGCAGGTGCCACCATGGGGATGGCCGTCTCCGCCACCGCGTAGTCCTGCCTCGCGCGCCTGCGGAGGGGAGAGGAGCATCACCGGCAGCCCAAGGGCTTTCCCCAGCTTTGAGGAAAGCTCAGAGGCCGAGGATAACTCATCACCAAAATGGAAAGACCTCGAAGGGCTCAGTCCACTTACGTTTTCATCCTCCAGCAGCAGCAAGCCACGATGCTGGCGACCAGCAGCACTGGGAGCCCTGGGGGAGAGACACAGCAGCCGATGAGCATCTTCTGATGCATGGCTTGGTTCAAGGAAAAAAATTCCACAAAGAGCCAAAAACACATTGTGCACACTCCCAAGATGCCTTCCCCACCCCTGGAAGAAATTTGGGTTCCCCCCTCAAAGGCATTGCCCTCGACCACAGCATAAACCTCCCACAGTCCCCAGGAGGGTTTTTAGGCTCAAAAAATTAAGAAAATAAGCCTCTGCTTGCCAAAATAAGCTTTTTGCTTGGATATGATTCTATGATTCTTACCAATGGAAGAGGCCAGCGTCTGGGTGGAAACTGGAAAAGAAGAGAAAAATGGAGATTTTTAGCTGCAAAGCCAGGAAAAGGGGGGATGCTGGGGGGATCCTCGCAAAAAAGCGGGTTGAAGAAGGGAAGAATTCACCAAAAGAGTAAAAAAAGCCTTTGCTGGTTGAAATCAGCCCTGTGGGTGGGTTTTCTCCCCTGGAGAGGTGGACTGACCTGCAGCGTGGTCCGTGGGGGCGGTGGGCAGTGGGGTTGTCCCCAAAGGTGTCCCTGGGGCCGTCCCCTCTCCCGGTGTGGATGTCTCCAGTGGTGGGGGCAGAGTGGACATCTCCGGTGACGGTCCATCGGTCGCTGGTGGCATCGGTGACCGGCCAGCAGCTCCTGGCAGTCCAGGCATTGGTGGTGGAGAGGGACTGGAGGTTGGGCTGGTGTCGGTGGTTCCTGCGACGGGAAATGGTGGAAAACTTCTTAATTTAAGGTTGAGGTGCGGCATGCTCCAGGCTGTGCTGTTATTTTGATGCTCAGCCTCGTGCCCACTGAAGGACCATACAACCCATCTGGGTGCTACAAAATGCCATAATTTCACACAATTGTATTAATTCAATCATAGAATTGAAATTGTTTGCTTTCCACACCGCGGCGGTTGTGGTTTTGCCGTGACCACAGTCACGACAGCCCCAAGCCAACCCCCTTTGCCCCTTCCTCACCCCTTTGGGTTGTCCTCTCGGTGCGCGGCGCAGTCGGGAGCTCAGGGCTGGGGGTCAGCGGAGGTAGAGCCGGGTCCCCTTTGGGAAGACACAACGTGGAGACACCATCAACGGCAGCGCCCGCACCACCCCCACAGAATCATAGAATCACAGGATGGGATGGGAGGGAACTTAAAGCCCAACCAGTGCCACCCCCTGCCATGGGCAGGGACACCTCCCACTAGCCCAGGTTGCAGCCCTGGTTTTTGCTGCTAAGACTTTTCC